TGGGTTGCCTCTTCTTTGACGAATTTATTCATGGCTTAGGCAATAGGGCGTTCCTTTTGTCTTACTGGAGGTATGTTGGGATCCAAGCTTAACTTGTGTACGACCATCTCCGGCGGGATGCCTATCATATCCTCATGCGACCATGCAAAACAATCGGCATTAGATTTAAGGAATTCAATAAAATCAAACTTGAGCTCCGGGTGCAGTCCAATCCCCAAGTGGAATTTCCTTTCTAGGAATTCTTCGAACAATGCAACTTGCTCCAGTTCTTCCGCTGTGGATTTCATTGCATCTATTTCTTCTGGAACTTGGGAATATCTCGGCACCCGATAATATTCCGACGCCTCTATCCCTGGTCTAACTTCTTCTAGTTCGGGAGTAGGTGCTGGTTCCTGTAATTGCTATGCTGCGTGTTCTTTTCCTTTGCTACTGGAGACCGAAATCACATTCATCTCCCTCATCGCCGATTGATCACCCCTTATCTACTTAATTCCCTTGGGCATTGGAAATTTTAGCAATTGATGATATGTTGATGGTACAACTTTCATCTCGTGCAACCAGGGTCTTCCCAGAATGGTGTTGTATCCCATATCACCAACTACCACTTCGAAAAGAGTTTTTTTTCATTACTCCTTCAGCGTTCGTGAGTTATAAAATTTCTCCCCGGGTCGTCACGCTTGCGAGGTTGAATCCGATGAGGAGCTTCGTGGTCGGAATGATGCTTTCAGTAAGTTTAGCTTGCTCCAATACTCTCTATTGTATGATATTAGCCTAACTTCCTGGATCTACTAGAACACGTTTAATTTTAAAATCTAGCATATTTAAAGAAATTAACAGAGCGTCGTTGTGTGGTAGCAGCAATTCGTCTGTGTCCTCCTCCGTAAAAGTGATATCGTCTTCCCGGAGCCTTTTACTATGGGGTATTGACACTTTCGTCATCTTTGCTGCCGAGAAGGTGACCCTGTTTTATCTCATTCCCTCTGAAGATCATGTTGATCATTTGGCGTGGGGATCTTCTCCTGCTTTCGAGGGTTCCGCATTATCCCGGTTTCGACCATAATTGTTCTTAGCTCGGTCACCTAAGAATTCTCTGAGGTGACCGTTCTTCAATAATGTTGCCACTTCTTCCCGGAGATATCGACAGTCCCCTGTACGATGGACATTTTTCCCATGGTATTCACACCATAAGTTGGGATCCCTCTGGCTGGGATCAGATCTTATTGGTCTCAGAAACCGTGCCTCCTTGATGTTTCTCATGGCTGACACCAATTCCACTATACTGACGTTGAAGTTGTATTCTGATAACTTGGGGTAATAAGGATCCCGTGACCTATTCGTTTCTTTATCCTGCAGTGATCTATTGTTCCGACCCGCGATCAGTCCTCATGTCAACGACGAACTTGTCCGCTGTACGGAAGCCTCTGGCACGACCTTCGGTCCATTCCTAGGGCAAAAACGGCCCCTCGAAGTCCGTTTGTCCGTGTCATAATCATCCTTTGATTTTTCTCTGTTCTTCTCCCGCCTTTTGGTCGTATGATGGAAAGCAAACATGATCATCCTCGAACCTTATTTTTGACTCGTACCGGTTGTGGACATCCGCCCAAGTCGTTGCTTGAAACTCAAGCAGGCTTTCTTTCAATTTTCGGGAAGCGTTTGAGCTTCTCGGATTCAATCCCTTGGTGAATGCTTCAGCTGCCCATTTATCTGGGACAGCCGGGAGCAACATTCTTCCCTTCTGGAATCGGGTAACAAATTCTCATAGTAACTCAGACTCTCCTTGCGCAATCCTGAATATGTCAGCCTTTTGGTCCTATACTTTTCTGGCCCCGGCATGAGCCTTGATGAAAGAGTCCGCGAGCATTTCAAAGGAATCTATGTCAAGGCTCCCCTTGTGAGAGTTTCTCCAAATTTCATTAGCAATACACACTGAATTTCGTGAGGAGCTAAATCATTTTCCTTCATCGCCGTTGTATAGGTGGTAATATGCTCCTGAGATTCTGAAGTTCCGTCATACTTTGCCACTTCAGGCATTTTGAACCGCTTCGGGATTAATTCTGGTGCCGCACTTAGCTTGTATGGCAATTGAGTATACTTCTTTGAATCTGGGCCTTTTAGCACCGGTGGCGCGCCCAAAATTTTGTCCATCCGTGCGTTCACTTCCCTCATAAACCGTAAAAGTTCATTCTTGAAAGGATCGTTCTCTCTATTGAGGCCGGATCCGCTTCCCCCAGCCCCATCGAAGCCAACTTCACCCCTGGGAGTGTTGTTGTCGACCCTCTGCGCTGTTTGGTCTGCGGGAACACCGGGAGAAATTGTATCTCGTCTATTTGCATTATTCGAAGCCCCGGACAGTGCCTGCTTCAATTCCGTCATAACCTTATCCTGTCGCATGAGGTGGCCTAAAATGATCGCTTGTTGCTCTTGCAAGACCCTTACCGCGTCCACAACATGTTCCTCATCAGCATCATCGAGAGTTGTCTCCTGAACCTGTCGAGGATATTGCCTATCATGCACCGGGGTGGCACCATTCCCCTTGTTGTGGGTGTCACTAATTGAGTCCTAAAAATGAAGCTGATCTCCTTGAATCACGGGGTTGTGCGTGTTGTTAATAGTGTTATCTGCCATTTCTTATGAATTTTTTAAGACAAAATAATCAGAACACGTTAGTAAAAAAGGCCAAGTATCAATTTAATTGCACGAATGTCTAGGCCCCACGATGGGCGCCAAACTGTTTACCTGTAAAACGGTACAATTGAATTTATACGTGGTTTCTAGACACGTGAACTAATTTGACCCTAAAATAATAAAATAATCGAAGAATTTTGTAATACTTAGCCTTAAAATGTAGACGAAACGGCAAAAGCAACAGTTTCGGGAACAAAATTTTCGGGCACAATAATAATGAAATTAAAAGCGAGAAAGTAAGATTATATTAAGCTTTGTATGGAATGTAGTATAAGTTTGCCAGAAAATTCTCTCCCCTTACAATGATAGCTGAGCTCGTTATTTATAGCTACGGCTAGGGAAGGAGGTCCTAGGATCATCCCCCTTTTTAATGTCAATTATGAGGGCCATTGATGAAGATGTAACGATGAGCATAAATGCCAAATTTCTTGCAACGGACAAACGTATTTAATACCATGGAACATTCCCTATTAAATGCTACTGGACGAGGAGTATTTATCACATCCTTATGAGCGTTATTCTCTCCGGTGACAGAAGGAATTGTTGCATTCGGTCTTGGACATTCCCTAATCTTAGGTTCCACGTGTCCCTTTTTTGGACGGCCACGTGGCATAACATATTTTAACCTATACATGTGAGCAGGTATTGGGATCTAGGCTTAAAATTGAAAACTAAATAAAAAGTTGTCGAACCAAATTAAATATTGCTGGGTTTTAAGATTAAAACTAAACCAAAGTAACATTTTGTAAATTATTTTTAGTTTAAGCGTTTGAGTGACGATTATTTAGGCTAATTCTTTATCAATAATCTAAAACCAACTGAGTAGACAATCTGCTATACTCACTTAAAATTAGAGCTGTCAAAACGGGCTAGCCCAGTCCAACCCAACCCAAGCCTCGTGGGCTTTTAAATTTGGTGGGCTAGGGTGGACCGACCCTCCATCTATATGGGCCTTAAAAATGGCCAGCCCAGCCCTAAAGGCTAAGAGGGCCGGCCCTTCAATTTTTTTAGGAAAAAATATTTCTTCAAATCTTTAGATATTTTTTCCTGAAATAATCTCTTAATCATATGAACGACTTCAGTTTATTTAGAGTGTACAAGAATCATGATATTTGACAAGGAATTTTGTAATTGAAATGCAAATTCTCTATATCTAGCTCTTTTTTTTATAACGTTACATGAATATTTTTTTAGTACTTTTCTTTCACTTTCCTTAGGTTCACGAATTGCTTCAATACGTTTATATGTTAAGGTTTTATAATTTAGGTTTAACATTATTTGTTGATTTCATCGTTATAGTCCCATAAAATTTGTTAGTGTTGTCAATTTTCTTTTTGTATTAAAACTTGACATTTTACTATACTGAAGATCAATTTAATAATTAATAATATATTAAAGTAATCAAACTGATCATTGGCCACTTAAAGTAATATTTTCTTTTGAAAAAAATTATTATTGGCCACCTAAAACTTTTCTAGTTCGTTGTTAATTAAGCAAAAGAAAAACTAATCTTGTCATACTACATGCACATTAAAAATATAAATTCAAGTTGATATGGAAAGATAAATGAGCAATCTAAAGTTGGAAAATGGGGATTATAGTTAATATTTTTTTTAGGTTTTACTTTTTTTAAATATTTAAATTTGAGTTTAATTAATTTTTGGCCCACAAACCGGCCCAGGCCCAGCCTCGGTCAAGCCTCAAGGGCCAGCGGGCTGACTTGGGCTGGGTTTATAAGCCTCACTTTTAAATGGGCTAAAAAAATCCCAACCCAGCCCTACCCAAGTAGATGGCTGAGTTGGGCTGGCCTCACGGGCCAAGCCCATTTTGACGGTTCTACTTAAAAAATTTAGTATATAATATATATATATATATATGTATGTATTTTTTTTTTAATTATTTCTTAGAAGTTACTGGATAACCGAGTCGTAATTTGATTCATATTGGTAGTGAGCATTCAACTTAGAAGGTTTCTACCTCAACAATGTTTTCTTAGTATTTTGATATTGGTTTTCGCACACAAAGGATATGTTACTTGACTTTCCTATAAAAGATTGTATCATATATGTTACTTAATTATTTATTATCTTATGCGTGAGAAAAATATACTCTACTAAAAGATAATATATTTAATAAATTGGCTTTAAAATTTGTATGTTTGTACGAGCTCTAACTCACAAAAAAAAAGAAGTTAAATTAAATTAAGAATATTTGTCATGTAATATGATAATGATTTTTATTTGTATATAAGAAGTTATTTTTTTCATCAAAAAACTATTACTGAAATAAAACTTGTATTAAAATGTGAAGGGAACTCAAACTTTTCTTCAGTTCTTTGGTCAACACTCGCATTGTGCACATAAGCCATTTGTCTCCTTCTCTCTCTCTCGATCTCGAATCTTCTTCGATTATTCCAAAGCCATTTTTAACTGCTCACATAAACCCCATACACCCTGCAGAAACCCCATATAATATTTTGCCACTTTGACACTATAAGCTCCGTAAAATACTATTTAGTGTGGAGAAGATTAATTCTTGGTAAGACATCTACATATTATATATCTACTCTTTTTAAATCCCTGTTGACTAATACGTGTAAAGTTTTGAATTTCTGAGTAGCTATTTTAATTGTGATTTTTTCTTAATGGGTTCTTGTAAAAATTTGATTTTTGTAAAGTTTCTTATGATTAATACTTGTAAATTGTTGGATTTCTGAGAGAAGCTATTTTGTTGATTGTGATTTTTTCTTAGTGGGGTTTTACAAAAAATTTGATTTTTCTTTTGTTTTTTTAGCCCCGGTGTTCGTAATGCAATTCTTTTGCAGCTGCTTAATTTAGAGGAAAATCTAGTTGTTTTCACATTGGATTGAAGGGCACTTCGAATAATGGATGAAGTAGAAGAGGAGCTGCAGCAGCAGAATTCATCAGTAGGTAAATGCACTAATCTATGACTTTCATCTTCTTCTCAGCTTAAGATAATACTGATTATTTATGAATTTTTAGCTGTAAAATTCAGATAATTGTCATCTATTCTGATTCCTTTAGCTAATGTAATGGTATTAATGGCGTTTGACAGTTTTCCCTGGTTATTATTCACCTTCCCCCTTTAATGTATGATGCGTTTTTAATATGCTATTGGAATATGGAGTGTGGACATATGTCTTAATTTTATTGGCTTCTTGATTGCTAATTTAGTAAATCTAGAGGTGAAAATGAAGTAAATTTCAACGTTTGATGCATTGAAATGATGATTCTGTGTTGACTTCTGCTGCAGAGTTATGTGTTTTTAGTATTTCAGTATTCTTTCAGTAGATGGAAAGTGTTTTCCAGCTACTTCTTGGATGGTGATTTTAGAAACTTGAAATTTGGAGGACATTTGGAAGTTGCTAGTAATTTACCATATTCGAGAACCTTTTTTCTTCTTTTGAATATTTCATTGCAAAAGGAGCAATGTGCTGTGAAGATCAAGTCATTTCACCCTAAATATTGTAATATTGTTTTCGTCATCTTTAATTCCTCCTGCACCTTTATCTTGTAATCATGCAAGTTGACTTAACTAGGGACTTTAGCCATATATCATGCGGTAAAGAATTGGGATCCATGGTGTGTGAACAGTAGTACACTTTTGTACTTGGGATTGAAAGTGATGTTTGCTTATCACAAGTTGGTTGCCTTGCTGAACAAATGCCTCTTCTTTTTGTATCAATGCTGAACTAATTGTTTAAGTGAAGGCTATTCTTTTGGGAGAAGTTAGACCTAAAGTCTTAAACTATTTCGTCATACTTGTTTCTTAAGAAGGTTTGTTTACCGAAATTAAATTCAATGCAGATCAGGTTGGTACTGACGAAATCATCACTGAAGGCGCTTCAGTTGTTCATGGAGAACTTCCACAGGATGATACTGGGCCACCAAAAGTTGATTCAGAAGTGGAAGTCCTCCATGAAAAAGTAACCAAGCAAATCATTAAAGAAGGTCATGGTCAGAAGCCAACGAAATACGCAACATGCTTCTGTAAGTCAAAGCTAAGATTGTTTTTTTTTCCTCCTTCCTTCCCTGTCCCAACTTCTGGTTTCAGAAGCAGTAAACTCATATTATATTTTGACTGGTGAGCGTGAACAGTATCTCTTTCGATAAATCTATTTGATTTAATCGTTTAGGACCAAGTATGTTCTCTCCTCTGCTGAAATATGTTATCTTGTTTTCCTAAATAATTTTTCTCCCAGTGCAAGTTGTTGCATTCTTCTTCTTATGCATGTTTAGGAAATATATATGCCTGCTTTTTTATTTTTAATGATTCTGAGTGGATCAAACTCATGCTTATCTTTTTCTCTTTGGTCAAGAATTTATGAACCATCTCCTAATTCCTTTAAACTCATGCTTATCTTTTTCTCTTTGGTCAAGTATTTATGAACCATCTCCTAATTCCTTCTTTTGATGCTCCATTCTTATTTTATGACAGCAAAGTATCTTTATTCTGTGATAAAGATTGTCATGCATGATTTCACATCTATTGTTTCCAAACAAAAAAGGGTCTCTTTGTCTACTTGTGGTGGGACTATCCCTCAACATAACGTAATATCAATGATATCAAAAAAACTGAATAAGTAACATCATTGTTTGTTTTGCGGAGAACTTATCAACGGACTATAAGGGAAGAGCTGTAATACAGTGTAAAATCATCAATAGATTTATTGTTTGTTATCAACCTTATTGGGATCGAGGCGTAATTGTTGTTGTTGTTGTATCGGGCAAAAATTATATGATTAAATTGGAGAAATAGTTTCTCCTAACAATTTGTTTGGCCTACTTCACTTTATCTTTTCTAGTATTGGTTTTATTATCCTACATGATTAAAATAAAGTTGAATTTGTAATTATCAATTTTGTTTATCTCAAAATAATAAACGATATTAAGAGAAAGTCAAAATGAGGCACAATAAAAAAATTGAGAAATATGAACTAATAACTCTTCATTCCTCTTCTACCCTATCTATTAAATGAGAGATAACAAATAAGAAGTGGTTCTCCACAAATAGTTCCCCATCATCTTTATTAACTGGAATGTCATACATGCACCAAAAATTAAGAACAAACAATATACAAGAGCTCACTTGTGCAGCGATGCTTTTCCTATTTATCCAAAAGCTCTCTTAGTTCTTTCTCTCCAAACTATCCTCATTAGTGCCAAGTGTGCTACATTCCATGCGCTGCGTGTTTTTTCCTCTTTGAAGGACCCAGCTAAACACCAGACTTTTAATGATAGCCAGCATTGACCATTGCACGCCACACAGATTCAGCAATTCATCACTGCAATCACTAGTTAATTTTGCTGTCTCTTTGTTGTTTTTCTTGTATAATCATTCAACTTTTGCTGAGGTAGAGTCTTTCTGCCCTTTCAAGCGCACAAACTGATGAAAATCATCTTTATAGTGCATTACAGGGCGTGGACTGAAAGCACCCAGCACAAGTTTGAAGATACATGGCATGAACAACAACCTCTTGAGCTGGTTATAGGAAAAGGTATATATCCAATTTACAAGATTGCACGCCATTCAGCGTCATTACTTTTGATTTCTTTTTATCCTAGTAAATTAGCAATTGATGCTTATAGAGTGTTAAATTTCGTGATAGCCTGCTTCCACCTGTGTGCTTCTCTTGGTAGAAACAAATTGACTAACACGAAAGGGTCTAAACTATAAAGAAGTTACAATAGAGTTGAAGTTAGCTATCTAGTTCCATTCTGGATATAAAAATTTGGGAAGTGCGTAACACTGATATGATAGTTGGATTTTGATCAGACTGAATGTAAACTACCACCTTATTGTCTTGGATTTCTTAATTTACTTATAATAGAAATAAGATGTTTTGACTTGCTGTTTTCTTGCAGAGAAAAAGGAGATGACTGGCCTAGCTATTGGCGTTAACAGCATGAAATCCGGTGAGCGTGCTCTATTGCATGTTGGCTGGGAACTGGCCTATGGAAAAGAAGGAAGCTTCTCTTTCCCTAATGTCCCACCTACAGCTGATGTTTTATACGAAGTCGAGTTGATTGGCTTCGATGAGACCGGAGAAGTGAGTTATCTGTTCCTTAACTAATTTCTGGTTTGTACTTCTGAAGGTGCTGGTACTCATAATTTTTTGTGCAATATGTTTAGGGGAAAGCACGAGGTGACATGACAGTTGAGGAGAGGATTGGGGCAGCAGATAGAAGAAAGATGGATGGAAATGCTTTATTCAAGGAGGAGAAACTTGAGGAGGCTATGCAACAGTATGAAATGGTCTCACCGCTGCTTATAATTGATTCGTTGTTTCTGCACCCATATAAGTGTCATCTATCCTCATAGTGCATGATTTTCTGTTTGGGTTCCTTAGGCCATAGCATATATGGGAGATGACTTCATGTTTCAGCTGTTTGGTAAGTTCCGGGACATGGCTTTAGCAGTAAAGAATCCCTGCCATCTGAACACAGCAGCCTGTCTGCTGAAGCTCCAGCGGTATGATGAAGCCATTGCTCAATGTAGCATTGTAAGCATACACTCATTATTCTGAAGTTTTTTTTTATAAGAGAGTGATTGAAATTAGTAAATGATCTTGATATGCTGACAACTATTAGGTCCTAGCGGAAGATGAGAACAATGTTAAAGCATTGTTTAGACGTGGAAAGGCTAGAGCTATACTTGGTCAGACCGATGCAGCTCGTGAAGACTTTCTTAAAGCACGTAAGTTTGCCCCGCAAGACAAAGCCATTGCTAGAGAATTGCAATTAATTGCAGAACATGAGAAGGCTGTCTATCAAAAACAAAAGGAACTTTACAAAGGACTATTTGGACCAAGACCAGAGCCTAAACCAAAGTCGAAAAATTGGCTGATTGTCATTTGGCAATGGCTGTTGTCGCTCTTCTATCTGCTTTTCAGGCGTAAGACGCCCAAGGATGACTAACTGAATTTGGAGAAATATTATCGTTGAATGCCAAATTTGAGAAACTACTTCCCACCTTTTTTTCTCCAGCAACACACTTCTTGTGCTCTAAGAAGGTTTTTCCTTGACCTTGTTAAAAGAAAATTTCTAACCAAAAACTTAAGAAATTTGAAGTTCTGGTTTTGTAATTTTATTAGTAAGACAAACTTCTTGCTAATTATTTTCTCATTCTGATTTCAAGTGTTTGCTAATGGTAGATGTATTTGGATATTGCAATTTCCGTTGGCTTAGGAGTAAAATTCTAAACGTAATAATTTTTCCGTACAAGCTACGGCTGACACAATGAGGACAAGGGTTTCTGCATAGATAATAATGCCTGTTAATTCTATAAATGAAACTCATAGGAAATTTTAAGAAAAGGCCACAGCAGGCAACTATTAGTTTTTTTAATTTTTTATTGTAGTAATGGTCGGACAAATCAATTGAACTATGTAACTCCGAACTATGTATGAATTAGTGCTAATGGTTTTTAGATAGGTTTTAAGAAATCTTAAAATTAACGGGTAATATTTGAAGCTAAAAGTTAAAGGATAAAAGCTTGCAAAAGTCTAAGCTTTGGATGGACAGTAATCATGGAAAATTAGTTTATGAAATTTAAGATCTAGTGAGTGAAAATTAAAATTTCGCTTGAAATTCATTTGAAAACTAACGTCTGAAGATTTCATTTGACGTCCAAATGTTGAAGGGACAAGAATTTGCAAAATACTCAACTGAAATACTACTAGTTGTGTTTATCACAAAAAGGTCCTTAATTTTCTGTTTGTACATAAAATAAACAAAATACGTTCTTCTTTGATTGTTAAATAAGGGTTCTATACCAAGTTACCTTTCACGGTAATTAGACATTTGGAGTTCATACTCGAGAATGGAAAAATACATTGTAAGAAGGCCGTGCATAATTTGGTGAATATCGAATTACTGTACTGAAATCGAAAATTTTGGTATTTGGTATTCGGTATGGTATTTGGTTTAAGTTTTTAAAAAATATGGTATTAGGTATGGTATTTGATATTTTTAAATGAAATACCGATACAGCACAGAAATATATATTATACTACACAAAACACATATCATTAATTATAACATAAATATAAAAAATCGAAATTTTACTTTTCTTTATTCTCTAATTTCATCAATTAACTCTAAGCAAGGACGAAGACATTTCTAATGATCAAATTTATTCCTTTATGTGCAGTTTTCTCTCTCTAGGTTGATATTTGCTGGTTTCGGATAAAACTTTTGTCAATAAATGTTTTTTATTTTGTTCTCTTGAGTACTTTAATTAAGAATATTATAGTCTATGACTCTATACACTTGTTAGTATTCAAACCGAATAAAACGAAGTTACCGAACCGAATAAATCGAAACCGAAAAGAGAAAAACCGAACCATACTGAATTTAATTAGGTACGGTATTGGTATAGCATTTTAAGAAATCAAATACCGAACAAAAATATCTAAATACCGTACCGTACCGTACCGAAATAGATATATATTAACAATGTGAATTAAATTAATTGGACCAGTCATACATTTATTATAAGAAAAAAGTTGCAAGAGATTCTAAAAAGCAATTTCTGAAAAGTCAAAAAAGAGTCATACCCCTCTGATTCACTAAAGTGGACCACCACCAAATTCACCAAGTTGGTCCGTCTTTTTCATCTCGGCTGAATATTTAAACAGAGTGGTTCCTACTTGTTTCCAATTTTTTCACTATACTCCTTAAACTTTAAACCATATGCGTTTTATTCCCCTAAAATTCACTTAAAATGTTCCAAAAACCTCTTCCTTCACAACTTTATTTACTAAATCATCTTTACTTTTGTATTTCATGTTTTTTACTATACAAATTAAGTTAGAATAGTCATGAAAATATAAGAAAACCTATAGAGAGAAAAAAGGCATTTCAATGTACAAATCATCCTGTATTCACCCAGAGTCCAAGAAAGTATCGCATCCGTAAGGATTACAAAAAATAAAAACCGTAAATAAAACTAATTCTTTTTATAAGATTGAATGTATTAGAATATGCATATTGATTTTCCATAATTAAATTCAAAACTATAATTCTTGTAAATAAAATTCAAACAGGCAAGAATTTTCCTTTAAAAAAAAAACTCAAACACCAATTCTCCTAAAATTGAATCAAAACTTGATTTCTATAAATTAAATGCCACTAATGACAATAATTCGGGTCTGTCATAAACAAAAGAAGTTGAAATGAAATAGAAAATTAAGAAAAGACAAAGGTCTAATTCAAAATTTAGGTTTAGAGGGTGAGGTGGAAAGTTAATAGTGGTGCACTTTAACTTTCAAAGATAGTTGACTAAACTTCCTTATTAAAATGCGCCCTACGCGCATTGCACCACACTCTCTCTCCTTTCAAATCGCCCAATGTATATTTTATTGATAGCACTCAACTTATGTTAATTTCAGTTCTGGTCCCATATGTTATTACATTTACCATTTAATTTATTTAAAAGGTCCAATAATGATATTTGCACTAGAGAATTGATAAAATTGAATACTTATAATATTGTTAAGTTAGCCAGATTTCTGGCCTTACAGACTTCCCAAGAATAAATTCAAATAACCATGTCATGGACTACTGTAAGGAATTGTTCTAAACTACTGTCGTTTTAATATATTAGCTTTGTGTTTTCATTAGGTAAAAGTTTACACATTTGATAGTATTTGGAGAAAAATAGATGAAATAATTGGCTTAAGTGAAATTATTATCATTACCTAATACAATTATGTTGTTACTCTAGGATGCTGAGGTGGATGTGCCGGTACACTAGGATGGATAAGATTAGAAATGAAGATATTCGAGAGAAGGCAGACGTGGCCCCTGTGGATGACAAGATGCGGAAGTCAGGCTCAGATGGTTCGGGCACATGCGGAGGAGAAGCCCTGATGCTCCGGTGAGGAGGTGTGAGCGGTTGGCTTTAGCAGGTTCGAGAAGAGGTAGAAGGCGGCCTAAGAAGTATTGGGGGAGAGGTGACCAAGCAGGACATGACATGACTGCAGATTTTCAAAGACATGGCCCTTGATAGGAAGGTGTGGAGGTCGAGCATTAGGTTATAGGCTATGAGGTAGTCGAGCTTTATTCTACTTTGAACCGAGGGTGAGGCTAGTTTGATTGGGTTGATCTTAGACGGCTAGTGGTTAATATTGTGTTCACACTATCTTTCTGTTTTTCATAGCACCGGACCTTAATTACTGGTTATTGTTATTGCATGTCATCTGTTTTTTTTGTTCTTATGATGATGTTATTATTTCTATGATTTCTGTTGACGGTACTAATATATTGTCTCTTCTTGCCTTTTCCGTTATCTTGAGCCGGGTCTATCAGAAACAGTCTCCCTGCCCATTGGGATAGGGGTAAGGTCTGTGTATACACTACCTTTCTCAGACGCCATTTATGGGATTTTACTGGATCACTGTTGTTGTTTATTGTTATTGTTGTTACTTTAGAGAAAACGCAACTGTTCATAAGAATTCTACTATCATTTTAGAGACTGTATGAGTCAAAATCAAATCAGAGAAATTTGACATGCGAAGACAATTGTCACGAGTAACATGCGAATCGAATTGAGCTGTCTGGCCGAGGTCGAGCAGTGATCAATAAGGCCGAGGTCGAGCAGTATAGATAGATGTAACAACTAGTTTTGCTTTGGAATCTTCAAAGGAAATATTCTACTGGATATTCCCTCTAATTGTACTTTTTAGGGTTTTCTAGGGATATCCCTTATAAATAGGAAGAGAGGATTTCTCTAAAAGGGGGCATACTCTCTATCTCTAAAAAAAAAAAAAAACACATCTCTCTAAAGAGATTAGAGGATTTTTTATCTCACATTCCCCATCAGATCCGAAAAGGGTCCTAAGATTCTTGTATTTGTTTATCATTCATCGTTATCAAATGAAAGAGGATCCACCACTCAAGATTGGGTGAATCTTCTCCTTTATCTACGTTTTATCCCCATTTAATGTTATTTAGTGTATGGTTTTTTTCATACTATTAGATCCGGCCATAACTACTGCCAACATTTGTACTCAACTATATTTTTCTATTCATGTTATCCGTTTCAGATCTAAAATTGATTATCCTTAACTAGGATTTACCCTCTATCTACTTATTTAATTAGTTTAACAAAAGGGCTGATACTTTTTGGTCAAACAAAAACAATCAAGAGTATAACTTAATGGCTAATAAGGTGAAAGAAAAACTATGAGATCTGAGTTCATACCTCAGCAACCACATAAATGCAAACTAATTTATTTATACTGATGGAAGACAACAAGTTTCAAATGAAATAGTGACCTCAAACAATAAAAAAGGATAATTGTAGACAAGCAAATTAATATAAGAGCTAAAGTGACAATAACCTCAAAATACAAGGACGGAATGTACTAAGAAACAAGAAGCTTTCCAGGTTCCCAATATATCCCCTTGACCGATGCGTTCTACGCACTTTGCGTATTCAAGTCTCCTTCTCTCTCTTTCACCACAAAACAAAGCAAACAAAGACCTACCCACCTCAAGTACGCTAGCAGTTAAAACTCCGTTGACTAATAATACAAATACTATCTTTTTCTCTCTAGGTGTAGACGAATATACACACAAAATCTCAAAAAATGGTCTAAATCTTGGAGCATTTTCTCACCGGAAAATCTTCGCCGGCTGATATTTAGAAGCTACCCCGGTGGACTGCTGTGGTAATATGGTAACATTTCCTCAAATGGGTTTTTGAATCTGAGCTCTGTTGTTGCAAAAAGTTGTAATCTTGAAAAACCCCAAATTAAGCTCTTGGGATTTTAATTGACAAAAGATGGGGTTTCTATAGTTTATGGGTTTCTCGTGATTTAGCTTTTGTAATCTTCTTTGTTTGGTGAATTGGAATAGTTCTCTTTGAGATCTGATGAACAAATTTTTTCCTTCTGCGGAGTGATTTTTGGTTGGGCTTGTTTATGCTTGAGTTTCTATTTCTTTTTGCTGAAGATTCAGAATTGATTAAAGCTGAAAGATTTATTCTTTTTGTTGGTGTTGCTTTTGTACCCTTGGAAGATTAGGTTTTAAGGGTTTTTCTCTGTTTTCTCTGATGCATTTAGAAGACAGGAGTATGGTTTTGATTAAAGTTGAATGAAACTTTTTGACTTGTAGGAAGTTGGTTTTGTAAGCTCACGATGAAGAGATTGAGGTCTAGTGAAGATCTTGA